TGCATTCTGTCTCCAACAAGCCAATTGTAACTGACAAGTTCTACTGGTTTTCCACCCACTCCAAGCTGCTAGCTTTTGAATGAACATTCCAGGGTTGTCCTAGCAACCAGATGGTTCTACCCACAACCCCATACTTACAGTAAGATTAAATCAAAACACAATTTTCTGCATATGGAAATAACAGTGGAAAAATATCTATGACCGCATAGTGGTCCATTTTTCTCTATTTCAGCATGAATTAAACTATGGAATTCTCATAGCAATGTAAAATAGTGCAGACCAATTCCACAAATTCACTGATTTCTACATTTGAGTGGATATACCTAAATTGCTAGTGCTTGCAATTTGTAATTTCATTACATACTTCAAGGACAGACCTGAAAATAGAGTATTCACATTAAAAGCCTGCTCCAAATAGTTTCATAAATGCAGAGTTCACATTTATTTTAAATATATTCATGCCTTAGAATATAATTTGCCTTTATTAGTGCAGTAGTTATGAAAGATAGAAGAGTAAAATAACCTTTTCCCCAACTGTTCTTGTTTGCCTCCTATTCTCAGTGTTGCCACTGCTTTCCACTTTTAAAAATATATATACTTTTAAAAACACAGCTGGGTTTTATGAGCTTAGATGACAACAATTCAAAGCACCTAACAGGGATTAGTAATTTTCCCATTTTCACAAAATATGAATAAAAGGTCAACTATAAATATTTAACAAAATACATTTTACTACAGGAGCTAAACAAAAACGGAGAAGGAAATGCATAAACTGGAAATTTTACTGCACCAATGTGGGAGAAAGGAACATATAATACAACAGAGTGCACCCAGTGCGCAATCAGATACACCACTGAAGACTGGGGTGTACGAATGTACCCACAGCAGACCACTACAATCATATATGCAGGCATGGTGTAGTGGATCAGCTGGACCCATGGTCAAATTCACTTCAACAAACAAATAAGACGGTGACTTTGGACTACTCTCTATTTCTCAATCTAACCTTCTCCACATGTTATAGGAATTTAATAGGCAAGTCCTGGCTATGTTGCCTTAAGTTCCTTGGAGGAATACATAATTTTATCAACTCCCCAACCACTGAGACGTTCCAGAGACAGTGCTACTCAGTTTACATATATATTAAAATTTTTTGTTTGTTTTATTAGTCACTATAATCAATATATATTTACACGCACACCACACTTGTCCCCATCACAACTCTTGGCTGAAAGGCTAACCTCAAGCCACAGTAGGACTAAAACATAGGTAGGCAAACTATGGCCCAGGGGCCAGATCCGGCCCAATCGCCTTCTAAATCCGGCCCACAGACGGTCCGGGAATCAGCGTGTTTTTACATGAGTAGAATGTGTCCTTTTATTTAAAATGCATTTCTGGGTTATTTGTGGGACATAGGAATTCGTTCATCCCCCCCCCCCCCCGCAATATAGTCTGGCCCCCCACAAGGTCTGAGGGACAGTGGACCGCCCCCCTGCTGAAAAAGTTTGCTGACCCCTGGACTAAAACCATTCCTAAAACAATTCTTCAAAAATGCTGCAGGTGTGGCAGCTAAAAGACACTGAATGAGAAGGCACTGGTCCTACCCAACAGGACACAGTGAGCTTCCCACTCTATTTTGTCTTTATAATTCATGGGTTTTTTGTCTACTACCTCTGTGGGGATTCTTTCCAAGTATTAATGCTTTCATGGACTACATGGGGAATTACAAAGTCGATAGGAGTGTTTCCTCACCATACCCGTGTAGGCTTCATGAGTCTCCTCTTGTACCAATCATTTCCAGCACAGACTGCATTTGCTTTAGCTCCTACACTGAAAACCCTTATTATTTTTTGGTGTCTCTGAATTCCCATCAGGCAACACTTTAGGCAAAACTCATTCACAAATATCAAGATAACTAGACTCAACACATTCAGAAGAAACCACAAATGAATATAGCCAGGGAGAGAACACAGCTTTCTCTTGTGAAGTATCAGAGAGAGACTAGTTCTGCAATCAGAAACAGGTTGTTTTTTTCTCAGCTGCAAGTCAAAACGCTAGTTCTACTCTGTAAATACAAAAGCTGGGGAAGGTACATCATTTCTGTGCCTTTTTTGTAACGACAGGCATAATAAATTATATTGGTTGCTCCTTTGGCAACCTCGCAGCTGACAGAAGAGGTGGTGTGATGAGAAATCAAACAATCTAGTTTGTTGTCTCACTGAAATTAATTAAATTGTCCTCCATTATACTTCCTGTTTTCCCAGTTGCGCATTGTGAAGATAAGCCCAATATCCTTCCAATTAATCATTAGCTATTCATTCGAAAGTAACCATTGGTAAAAATAACTCAACCACAATTTTATCAGAAACTACCAAACTGTTAAAGTTGTAGCACTCCTCAAGGATTTGCACATTGCTCTCTTCAGACTTTGCCTGAAGATGGTTATTAAAATCTGAAGGTAGAACAGCATAAATTTTCTTGAGCTTTAAAATGTTCGTTTCTGCCTTTCTGCTGCTCATACACAGCTATTTTAAACAGTACTGCTGAAATTAAATTAATAAAGGCTGACAAAATTATAAAACTGGACCGTACAGAAGAAAACAAATCTAGGAAAGGGAAAATATGTTGCATTCATTAGTTTACATACGTTGTATTGGCTTCATTCTGACATTTAAGGCATTCATTAATACTGTACAGCTTTCCATACTGCCCTTCAGTAACTGTGATAGTTTATAACATTTTCTCAATCATTCTCCTACTGCCAATAATATCACACCTCATGCAATTCATGCAAGAAGAATGATTTCTTTCACTTATTTCCTTCATCTGTGACCTTTAGAGAGATCTACCAAAGGTAAAAGGTTTAATTAGAAAAAAAAGGTCAGCTACAGAAACAGATAGTGGGCACACAACTTTCTAATCTATGTTGTGTACATTTATGGAAGACCAAAAAATTACAAAAAACACTTCATCAACATTGGACACCAGGTCATTAGCTTTGACCTCATATGGAGCATAAAACAGAAAAAGGTGGTCCCTTCTTGTCCTTTTACCAATATATTGGTTCTCTCAGAAAACTAAGAAAAAGACTAGGTGACTGAATTTTGTTAACAGAACAGAAGCAACACTAATAATGTGCCTATGGAAACAGATGAGGAGTTCTCCCACCACATGTTAACATTAAATTGTGAACATAGAATCACAGAATCATAGAAATGTAAAGCTGGGAGAAATCCCAAAGGTGATCTAGTCCAACCCCCTACAAATCAGAAATCATCATCTGCAACTCATCTGCATGTCCTATTTGTGGTTTTTGGTTTTGGTGCAGACCCAGTAACACTGCTTTACAAATAAAATAACTGTCAATTAGGATCAATGAGAGTTGAAGAACAAACATTGACCTGTGCTGTAACAGGGACCCCAGCTTTGTTCAGTCATTGACCCAGATATACGTTAAACATGTGTGGAAGGAGGTCATATGAGGTGTGAATTATGCTTTGTTGTCATCCATCCCAAATATCACCATGCCCCATGGGCCTCACCTCAACATCTACCGGTACGCACTGTGTAGGAAATTTGAAAAGCAGCACCAGTGTGCGTACATTTGTATGCTGGGGTCCTGATCACATGAAGGACTACAGTTGTACGAGCATTGCTTCCTGTTTTCTATTGTCTGACTTAACATGAAACATCAGGTCAAGACCAGAAGGATAGGGTCCCACTCCTTAACACATTTAGTCCACTCTTGAAAAAACGGCTAAACAGGACTACCAATTTGCCTCCAAGATTGAAACACCTTCATCTGGTGGCTTTGCTTTCATTATCACATGGATAACCATTTGCATGACTTAGGCTCCATGTGAAAAACTGAAATGCTAGCAGTGCTAAAAAAATGCATATGCACAGATACTCTTGCTCTCCCAAATAAAAACAAAACATCACATTCTTTGTCACATTATAAATAACAGAGGCACATTTGCGGCCGGCGCTTCCAGCAATCTTGCTTTGCACATCTAGGAAGCCAGCTGTTCCCTAGGCCACCCCATATTTGTTCTACAAAGAATGGAAAATAAGAACTTGTACATGTTAAAAAAAAAAAACATTGTCAAACCCCAATTTTAACCATTTTGTTCATTCTTTTAAAATATATACTATTAGAGACTAAGATTAGAGCTCCTGCAGCTTCTTTCACTTGCTAATTAATTTTCAGAAAAGACAAACCAACAAAATGATTGCGATTCCGTGTTACAGCAAACACAGCACAGAGTCTTGTGGCACATTAAATGCTAACGAATCCATCCAACCCCTCAACTGGTAGCAGCAGCACTTGATGGAGTGGTGTAGCTTCCAAGTATTGCTGAAACTGGCAGGACAGAAAGTGCCAGCTCCCAAGTTGTTGCAGCAAATGGGGCTCGGATCAGGGTCGTTGCCATCACATGAGGGCAGCAGGGTTGGCAATGAATCTACTTGGAGTATCTCCAACCCTCCGCCACTGTTTGGACAGCGCAATGGGTACTGCTCACTAGCAGAGCATCTAGAACAGTGGATCTCAGGGTTGGAATGCTCTACAACAAATGTGTTAGTTTGTAAGATTCCATCAAACACTTGGTTGTTTTTTCCTTTAAGCCTAATGTCAGTAAGGAGACATGGTTACATGCTACCTGGGTTTCAGACTTCAGAAACATTAGCAATAGAAAATATGGCCACTAACACATCTAATAGTTTTAAGAACAAAATGTACATTCACATGGTTTTCTAGTTTCAGCTGTTTCATTCACAACCAGCTGAAAGGGCTAATGACTCATGTTGTAAAAAACATAAAAACCAGCACTTAGGCGATCATTTAAAAAGGAGTCCCCCACACCTTCCAACACATGGGCATACACGGCTACAGTTGCCTCAATCCATTTCACACACACATAAAGTCAGCTTCACACCACTATTTTCATTATCAGAAAACAAACCTCAACAACAAAAAACAAATTTCATGCATGGCACAGTGTGTGTGTGTGTGTGTGTGTGTGTGTGTGTGTGTGTGTATACACACACACACACACACACATATATATATATATATATATATATATATAGTATACACAAGTGGTTGTCTACTAAGGATCAAATGCAGTACTGGCTCAAGGCATTTTTCTGCCATAAGCAGAGTACAAATGGTGCTACCCTTCTGGTGTAGACAACACTTTTAAGAAGTCTCACTGCATCATTCAGACATTTCTTCCTTCTTCTTTTCCTCTACAACCCATGGTGTTGCAGCCTGAAGCATATTGCTTTACCCTGCCGCATGGCAGACTAGCCCTGATCAGAAACCTGCTTGCATGTATTTGACAGCAAAAGTCACACATTTAAACTTATATGCACTATTCATAAATGACACCATTCATCTGTACTTTAAAGACACTGTTGTTTGTACTAAGGAATAATTTCCACCTGTAGAAAATGCCTTATAAGGAGGACTTAATACAAAGTTTCTCTGAAAGCAGACCTGCAAGTAGAAAAGCACTCTGTAACCTTGAATCAAAACATCAGAGTGCTTAGATTTTGTGTGCACAATTATTAGTATTTACATCAACAGAGAAGCCTCTTCCATATGCAGTACCTCATTTTCAAAGCACAAGAAATATCAGACACAGGTATATAAAATGCCACCACCTCCAAACCAAGCCAGTTATTGATCTATCAGTACTAGGTATCGATGGTGCTCTACACTGGCACAATAGGGTTTTAGACAGCAGTTTTTCCCAGCCCTATCTGGAGATGTCAGGATTGAACCAGGAACTTCTGCAGGCAAAGCATTTGACCTACCCCCCCCCCCCGAGCAAACACAACTGGAACAATCATCATAAAATTTTATTCAAAGTCCAAACTCCATGCTGTCAAACAGAAATGCCTAACTATTCATTTTTGCTGACAATTAGTTATTTTTTAAATTTAGTTTTTACTAACATTTGTAAATTATGAAAGAAGAATTTTCTACATTCAAATAAAAGGAAGTAACAAAACAGCACTAAAAAGCACAAAGCTACAATATTTTCTGTGCAAACATGCATTTCCCTAAGGAATTCACACTCACCAAATGAAAAAACTAAGTAATGAAGAGTTAACATCATGTTTTCCCTTGCTTCCCAATTACTAGCAGTCCAACAGAAATATAAAGAGCACATGTCTGCCTTTCACAAAACCCACACCTTGGAATAAACAAGGGGGACCATACAGCCATGGGCTTCTTCATTTGTAAATAAAGTCATGCCATACTGCAAAAAAATCAGTCTTTTGTAGCATGTCCTCTAGCTACTTTCAACTTGCAGGAGATCTGTTCTAGAAGAGTAATTTGCCAGACTTTTGAGTTATTGTACATGCGCATGTGTGTGCACAAATACACCACTTTTAATTCCAGGAAATCTTTTTCGTGACTTCAAAAGATATGATTGAGTTAAATGTAGCTGGAAACCAGTAAGATAGTCCACTTCATTTTTCTAAGGAAGCAAATGGATGCATTCTTGCACTATCGATACATTTAAGTACCACTCTTTTTGAACAGTTACCTTTAAGCTGAGTACCTCTGCATTACTAATACCAAACTTTTGTAGTCCTTTTTCCCACCTCAGAGGACCACAAATCACAGGACTACAACCACAGAAGAAGTCTGAATGGCTACTGCTATATTTGTGGCTACTCCAAACAAAGGTTGTGTGTATTAATCTTGACATGCTAATGCAAAGTTCTGCATGCATTATCCTGTCATTGGATATAGGCTCCCCATATCACCCTTAATCTATGCAACAGCACTACAGCAAATCTATGGGTCTGGGCACAGTAACTGGAAGAATTTCCATAGGGGTAGCCAAAGAAGTTGGAATGTTTCCACAGTGCATTTGGATATTGCCATTTCTGCTATCACATATGTGTCGATTTATTATTTTGTGCAGAGTCTGTTCTGTTTGTCATATGTTGAATACAGAGAGGAATTGCTAGTAGATATATATATATAGATATAGATATATAGATATATATATATATATATATATATATATATATATATATATATATATATTTTCAACGTCCATACTCTATAAGGCAGGCATCCCCAAACTTGGCCCTCCAGTTGTTTTGGGACTACAATTCCCATCATCACTGACCACTGGTCATGTTAGCTAGGGATCATGGGAGTTGTAGTCCCAAAACATCTGGAGGGCCAAGTTTGGGGATGCCTGCTATAAAGGACCTTAAGGTGGCCATACTAGAATAAGGAAGCTTCTGAAGTGGCCATACTAGAATAAGGAAACCTCTGAATTACAATTTATCAAGTTGTAGACTCAATTGAGACAAAAGTTATTCTCATCACCCTATTGTTTGTGGTGAATGGCTATGCTTAATAACATAATTATCACTGTTTGTAATTCTACCAGTACTTTCTGTATTTCATTTCCTTCTGACCCCCTTTTTACGTTCTCTTCTCCCTACCCCTGCCCAATTGTGTAGATACACCCACACAACACCTCAGGATAACATTTCATGCATCTGATGAAGTGGACTATAATTGACAAAAACGTATGCCATAATAAATATTAGTCTTAACGATGTCACAAAACTGTTTGCTGGGTCTGGAATAAGTCTCACTGAGTTCAGTGAGGTTTACTTGGGAATAAGTGCCCATTGGGTTACAGGCTTGAACACAATTAAAGTGGTCAGGCAAAGCACCTACTGACTTTTGCCTTTATAGCAATAATTGCAGTAGAATTCTCATTCCACTTTTTCAGAATACAAAAAAATAAATAAGTTGAACAAGATGGCTTTCTCACTTTCCAGTTCTGACGCATGTTTGGTGGTTGCTAAGCAACCTCAAAGCTCTTTCACTCTAACTCAGAAGACATGCAAAGCATTTAGCCTAGCCATTATACGTGCAGCCTCTTTGAGCAGAATGGTACAGAGCTAAAGGAATATGACATACTGTGGGGAATCAAAGGGGGTAAAACTACCCCCACTTTACGCTCCTCAGCAGTAAGACTTTAAAGCCATGCCAGAGAAGAGAAATTGCCCAGTTAAATTTAACTACATATATGTACTATTTACCGTATTTTTTGCACCATAACACTCACTTTTTTCCTCCTAGAAAGTAAGGGGAAAGGTCTGTGCGTGTTATGGAGGAAATGCCTACGGGTGGCATGCCTACGGATTTTCCTCCTCTAAAAACTACGTGTGTGTTATGGTCGGGTGCGTGTTATAGAGCGAAAAATACGGTACGTCTTCTGCTCTGTGTAGTTAAAACACCACTGTTTTCTAACTGGCAGATAAGGATCCAATACTACGTCACAGCATGATCTAAAGCAGGTTACAACAGCCGCCCTGATGCTTTACAAATATATGATATAAAATTAGTAAGTGGGTCCCCAAGATGCATGTTTGGGCTAAAGGTGAATTCAAAGACTGAAAAGACTGAAAACTCCAAAACACACAACAGAAATTGGTGAAACTGTGGTGAGAATTGTGAAAGCTTACATCACAGTCTAGGGGTTCATTGGATATTATAAGTGTGGAAGATTTAAAAATAAATAAATCTTAAAAGTACATCCAGAAGGAATTACACCCATGGAAGTGATTCATTACATTAGAGTTCTAATCCCAGAGAAAGCCTTTTCAAAAAATTGTATCACCCATGAAAGATTATACCACTTTTCCAAGGTCAAGCATGGTTAGGTAATTATAGAGTTGGCTTGAAAATTTGAGCTCTAATCAAAAGCTATAAAATACAGACTTTTAAAAAAAGTATTTACTGAGAATTAGAAAAAACAAAAACAATCATTAGCTCTAATGTGGTAAAATAATTAGAGTTATTGTTTGGTATGGTTCACCCCTTCCTGTGGACTATCTATCTGATCACATACTTTGCACTATATTAACTCAGCTGTTACCCTAGGTTGAATATTGCAAGAATACTTGAGTCTCAGAAATTGCAAATTAAATATTCCAGATTTTTAATTAGAGAAATTGTAAGCAGATGCCTTTCAAATTGTTAATGAACTCTGTTTCACAGACCAAACTCTCTCCATTTATTGAGTTCTTTTTATAACAGATATCCTAGTAACTGGGGGATTACATCACCAAGTTTTCTCACGACACATGAAGAATTTAGTTTCCAAGCAATCCTAGTTCAATTTTATTTATTTACTGGGGAAAGGAGGGGGTGAGTCACCTAAAATTAAGAGTACTTAGCTATAAAGATTTTCACCTGTTTGCAATCCAGAAAAGAAGCATTACAAAATTAACACTCCATTCACCAACAAGACAGGCACTGATCAAAAGATGATGTATAACACTTTTGTACAGTCAATTTAACCTCCTTTTAACAACAAATTGAAGAGTACCTTCACAAATGGGTTAACACAAAGATTAAAAATGATTTAGCTTTCAATGCATGAGATAACAGATCTTAGAAAAACATATATAAAGCACTTCAATGTTGTAATCTTATGCTTAATTACTGGAAGAAAATCCCACTTAACCCAATGAGAGTACATCTTGCTAAGATCATTCTGTAAATTTACATGCCAATGTTATATATACCATATTTTTCGTTCTATAGGACGCACATTTCCCCCTCCAAAAATTAAGGGGAAATGTGTGTGCATCCTATAGAGCGAATGCAGGCTGTGCCGCTAAGCCCAAAGCCAGAACAGGAAGACGGAGCACTGCGGAGCGCTCCGTCTCGCTGCTCTAGCTTGGGGACGGCTGCGCGCAAACCTCTGCAGGGCAGCGGGGTGCCTTCACCCCGCTGTCCTGCAGAAGCTAGCAAGGCTGTTCCCAAGCCAGAACAGCGAGACGGAGGGCTCCGTCTCGCTGCTCTAGCTTGGGGACGGCTACGTGCAAACCTCTGCAGGGCAGCGGGGTGCCTTCACCCCGCTGTCCTGCAGAAGCTAGCAAGGCTGTTCCCAAGCCAGAACAGCGAGACGGAGGGCTCTGTCTCGCTGCTCTAGCTTGGGGACGGCTGCGCGCACAGCCTCTCCAGGGCAGCGGGGTGCCTTCACCCCGATGTCCTGCAGAAGCTAGCAAGGCTGTTCCCAAGCC